TCAGCTCCAGAGTCAACTGTCATAGCTGGAATTGTTAAACGTTTGATTTTACACTTTACCGTCGCAACACTTGTTTTCGGCTCCTTCTTCTTGACGAAATCTATTTCCATAGGATCATCTAAATATTCTTCCTCCTCTACACTAGACTCGCCCGGGTCTTTAGAACTTAAAGAGCTATTGTTTTGTACCTCCACTATAGCCGGAATAGGAGGCACTTGTTTTACTGAATTGGCTTTATTTGAACCAGACTCCTGAGGGGTAGTCTTGTGAGCCGGCTCGACCCCAGGTAAGAGGAAGGGAAAAAGTAATTTGAGCTCACTTTGCATAATTTTACGAACAGTTTCTTCCAAGATAGTCTGCTTATTTTTTCTAGGTTTATTAGACTTGGAATTTTTAGTAGAACGGGATGATGATTTCTTGGAACTATACTTCGTGCTGGAAGACTTTTCGCCCGAAGACTTCTTGCCTGAAGACATCTTACCCTTGGAGTTTGGACTTATTTTTTTTTTGACTTGGCAATATTAATTATATCACATGGTGATATCCCACTAAGCCCACCTCCGGAATCAGAAGAATCTGAATCAGAACTTGAATCAGAACTTGAATCAGAATCAGAACTATCACTAGATGAGGTATCGTTTGAGGAAGAATCTGAATCAGAACCCGCATCTATAGTAGCGAGATTAACTTTAGCTTTCTTAGACTTGTTCTTCTTTTTCTTCTTCTGAGTGCATTTGCGAGAATTATGTCCAGTTCGGTTACAATTAGAGCATCGCTGTTGTGCTTTTATAGCCTTTTTAATAGATTTAGCCACGTGTAAACTTAACTGCCTTTTCGTGAGCCCAGCAAGTTCTTCATCGGAATCAACTTCAACCTTTTTCTTTGGTTTCGGTGGCAACTCAGGATTGGGGACAGGGATGAACTCTGGAGTTTCTCCTGTTATCCATGACAAAAATCTACCAATATTCTCATCCCGTATATTGTTATATGTTCCGGCAGGGGATGGGCAAAATTGCGATGAAGCCACTTGCTGGGGTTGCTGAGGTTCTGAAGATGCTATTGTATTTTTTATCAAGCTCTCGATTTCCGTTTTAGTCATCCCTGATTTGTTAGTTTCTACATATGGATTGGCCGCCGGAAAAATTGGAAAAGATGACGGCGTGGTCTTTTGAGATAATGTAAATTTTTCCGCTTCAGCCAATGCTTCTGTAATATTATCCTGAGTATCATGAAATTTGGCCATCATTCGAAGATTGTATTGATTCATCGGAGACAGACCACGAATAAATTGCTCTCTTTGCTGTTTAGGAGTCATTTCAGCTAATTTACCAATCTTTTTAATTTTAGTGGAGAATTGCTCAACTGACATATCACCTTGCATGAGTTGACCAAAAACTGCCGTATGTTTTAAGTGTTCAACTGTCGTATAAGTGGTTCTAAACAGGTATAAAAGTTGACCAAGCTTAATACCAGGAGCAATAGTAACAGCAGGAAGACCACCACCGGCATTAGGTGCTACTGGTGCATTATCTACAGGTTCGCCACCAGCTATTGACCAGTCTTCATCCCATGTTCCATTCGGAATAATATCAGCACCAGTTGCGACTCCTGCTCCAATTCTACCGATTTCGGCGGCCGCCTTACCTTGAAATTCTCCAGCAGTATTTAAACCACCAATTTGATTACCACCATTTCCAGCAGTCAAAGCTCGAACAGCAGTTAAAGTAAGTACTCCTAAATTGTCTGAAAGATTATTACATCTCCAATTTTTACCTCTGACGTGGGTTAAATACCAATTTAATGCATCACCTGCAAGGCATGATACAACTAATCCA